CACCGCGCCGCCTGGCTCGCTGGGCTCTCCTTTGTCCTTGTGGAAATAGCTCCATCGTCAGCTGGCCGACATCGAGTCGGCCGTCGGCATGCGCTCGGCCTGCATCTACGGCGGCTCCTCGTACGAGGCGCAGGCTCGCCAGATCCAGAGCGGAGTCGATATCCTGGTGGCCACCCCCGGGCGCCTGATCGATCTGATCAACAACCGCCACTGCGACCTCTCCGAGGTGAGTGTCGTGGCCCTGGATGAGGCCGACGAGATGATGTCCCCCTCCTTTTCGGATGACATCCAGTTCATGCTTTCCCAGGCCCAGCGCGATCGCCAGATGCTCCTGTTCAGTGCGACCATGCCGCCGTCGGTGTCGTGCGTGTGGCATTCCTTTTGGTGGACCGCCCTTCCGGACCTCGCCTCGTTGGTTCTCATACTAATTACCTTCCCCCCCCCCCCTCCCTCCCCCTTGCTCTCCTCCTCAGCTCCCTGGTCAACCGCTGCATGTCGCCCAACTACCACACCATCGACACTGCCTCGACGGCTGTCCCCTCGAAGGTGCGCAGGCATGGGCACTCTGCGCCCCTCTCCCGCTGCCTCCGCCGCCCCTCCTGCCCGAGGCAGCTGGGGCCAGGACATTGAGACTGACATACTTCCCCCCCCCCTCCCCCCTCCCCCCTCCCAGATCGCCCACTTCACCTTCCCCATTCGTGGTCACGCCAGCCGGTCGCTGACCGCTTCGCTGCTGGTTTCCTCCCTGCGCCCCCGCCGTACCATCGTCTTCAGCAACAAGAAGACCGACGTGCGTCTTTCGGCCTCCCGCCCGGCTCCTCCGCCACTCAATCCCCAGCACTGACACCTGTCTCCTCCTCGCCCGCGCCGGCCCTCACAGTGCACTGAGATTGCCGAGCGCATGCAGTCGACCGGCATCGCCGCGGCGCCGGTCCACTCGGACCTGAGCCAGAGCGTGCGCACCGACCTGATGAACCGCTTCCGCAAGGGCACCCTCAAGGTCCTGGTTGCCACCGATGTGGCGGCTCGCGGCATCGACATCCCCGAGTGCGACCTGGTCATCCACACCGAGCCGCCCACCAGCCTGGAGAGCTATGTCCACCGGTCTGGGCGCACTGGCCGCGCCGGGCGCACCGGTGTCGTGGCCATGTTCGACGATGGCCAGTCGAACCAGCTCCTGCGTGACATTTCCAACCGGGCCGAGCTGTCCTTCGTCGACGCGCCGACCGAGAATGACTTCGCCCTTTACTCGGTCAGCGATGCCATCGACCGCATTCTGGAGGTGGACGACGCCATCGCCGCGCACTACCTGCCCTCGGTGGACCTGCTCATCTCGCGCCATGGCGATGCCCGCTCTGTCCTGGCCAAGGCGGTGGCCTGCAATGCCGAGGGCTCCCGCAAGATGATTCAGGACATGTACCGCGAGCCGGTCCGGCATCAGTTCAGCCGCGGTGGCGACCGCGACCGCGGCTTTGGCGGCCGTGGCGACCGTGACCGTGGCGGCCGTGGCGACCGCGGCTTCGGTGGTGACCGCGACCGCGGCTTTGGCGGCCGTGGCGACCGTGATCGCGGCGGCCGTGGCGACCGCGATCGCGGCGGCCGTGGCTTCGGTGGTCGTGGCAGTGGCTATGGCAATGATTTCGGCTACTAGAGTGCTCCTCCGCCCTCCCGTTCCCCCCCCCCCCCCCCCCCCCCCCCCCCCCCGCCTCTTTCTTCCCCGATACCAGCGGCAGTGATGTTGCCCTTCTTTCCTCGCGCACTGCTCAATCCCCCAAGCCTCCCCCCTTGTTGATAGACATCCATCCTTCTTTTGCACGCCGGCTGCTCTTTTTTGTTGGCCATGTTCATGTCCATGCCACGCGTGGGGGAGGGGGCGCCACATTTTTGGTGCCTCCGGCATTAAGAGTCTTCCAAAAAGAGGGCGCCTGCCTGCGCGGCCAGCGCGCGAAAGGCCGAATAGGATACCCGCCCGGAGGCCGTGGAGCCCGGCGGGCGAGCGTCAATACGGGCGCCATTCCGAATCATGGCCAGCACATCGGCACGGCGGAGTGGGACATCCGGCAGACCCAGCAGCCGGAACATCCTCATCGAATTGTAGATCGTCCTCACGGTCAGCCTGCTGGAGCATGGGGGGACCGGGGCGAGGGGGGCTGGCCAGCCCGCTGCCTGGGCAAACAGGGCCGCCCGAGCGGGGGCTTTAGGCTGCCCCGACCGAACGATAATGTCAAACAGCCGGATGGCCAGCAGCTCGCGATTGATGGCCGCCTGCGAAGGGAGGGGGGGGGCGGGGAGCCGAGCGTGTCAGGCGCGCGCATGAGTGCCAAGGGGCCCGCGACAGGGAGGACAGACGGACATACCTGGATAAGATGCAGGAGCTCGAGCAAGCCCGACAGAGGGAGATACCCCCCAGCCCCGGGCAGTGGTGGGGGGCCGCTGCGCAGGTAGTCGGCCACGACATCGGCGGTCGCCTGGCGAATGGCCCGGTCAAACTGACATCGAGCACCTCCTCGATGGACCGGGCACCGGAGGACCCCAGCTGGCAGGGCTGGGGCCCGGTCATTTGCCACATTCAGCCCAACAAGACTCAGCAGGGTGGGCAAATGGCGAAGATGCACACGCAAGTCCGCCATCCGAGCCGGGTGCTCAGGCGAGAGGTGGTACATGGATGCTTGACGCAGGGAGGCCTCCAGCGCGCCGGCCGTGGGACCTGGATCCTCGGCGAAGAGGAGGGCGGCCGAGCGGGCCCGTGCCATGCACATGGTGAAGCTGCTTCCGGAGCGCGGCGGGGATGGCATTGCTTCCGGGTAGGGCGTCGTGCCGGATGCCAGGGAAGCGAGGGAGGCTCAAACGGAGGAGAGGCCAGGCGATGGCGGGGGAGGGGAGAGCGGGGGGGGGAACAGGGGAGGAGGGAGTGGTGTAGATCGCAGCCAGGAGCTGCGGGGGAGGGGGGGGGGCAGATTGCACGGTCCTTTTACGGTCGCCGCGGTGTGGAGATCTGCGCGTGGCACCACCGCCATCAGTTGGCAGCTCGGCCCGATCGGCGCGCCGGGGTTCTTGGCCGGCCGTGTTTCTAGATGGGGGCAGGGGCCCGGGCGACAGTCCCCCCCTCTCCACCGCGGTCCTGTTCAGCTGCTTTCCCTTGCTGGCCTCCGCTCCCCCCGCCCCCCCCCCCCCCCCCCCCCCCCCCCCCCCCCCCCCCCCCCCCCCCCCCCCCCCCCCTCCTCCCCCCTCGCATTCGCCTCCTCGCACATAGGCCCTGATCCTGCGTCCCCTGCAAGCATGGGCTTCCTCGGGCCGAACCTCACGGCCACCGTGCTCGGGTCCTTCCTGTCCATAAAGCTCCTGGCCACCTTTGATGCCGCGCACCGGCTGCTCTCCGGGTACGCTGGGCGTGTGGTCCTGGCTCTCGATCGGCGGGCCTGCGTGTGGACATTTCCCGGCCCACTCACACGCCCCTCCCCCCTTGCCACGGCCATCAACTGACTCGTGCCCTTGCCTAGCATCCAATATTACCAGCTCCCCGATGAGAGCCAGCTTCGTGATGTCTTCCAGAAGGCTGCGCCCGTTGGAAAGGAGTATGTTCCCGGCTTTTCCCCCCGGTGTCGCCCTCTCTCTCCTTCTCTCTCTCCTTCTCTCTCTCCTTCTCTCTCACACACACATACACCGCTCTGGCCCCCTCTCCCACCCTGATCTACGTCTCAGTGGCTCGCTGGCGCATGACACCTTTGTCATCCCGATTGCCGAGCTGGCAGATCTGAAGCTCGAGCAGCAGGAGGTAGTGTTTGTGCCCTCCTCCCGCCCTTCCTCCTGCCCCTTTTGCCCGCCTTCTTGCACCCTCGAAGGCGTCCCCCTCCTTTCCCGCCGGGTGATCTGACAGTCCGTCCCGGTTGGCAGATTCGGCCCCCAGCCATCGGCCAAAATGGCATCCTCACCTTGCGGCCGACTTACGACGTGTATTCGTCGGTTTTGTCGGCTGGCGTGGCCGCCCTCCTGTCGCTCGGCACGGCGGAGCTCCTGTCGCGCGCTCTTCCCCGGTTTGCCCTCACCTCCGGATACTTTCCCTGGGCCCTGGCTCTGGCGGTCATGTCGTTTGTCTACATCCTGTGCGTGCGCGCGCGCGCACTCGGACTCTCTTCCTCATCCTTCTTGCAAATGCGATTTTCTCATGCCGCCTCCTTCCCCCTCTCTCCCCCTCTCTTCCCCTCTCCCTCCCTCTCTCCATGCAGCGCTTCAACCGCGCGCGCCAGTGTCAAGCACGGGGTGCGCAACTTCGCCCTGCAGCGCTCCGTACGGGTGACGGTCTTCGCCCTGGTGGCGGCCCTGCTGCTTCTCTGGGCGGCGGATCCCGAGTCGTCTGGCCTTCCCGGCCCGCTGGTGTCGATCGATCTCCGGGGCCAGGTATTTGACAGCATGCAAACCATGTGCCATGCATTCATGACCAGTGTCAACCAGGATCCCCTATCCAGGTGCGTAACCCTTGCCGGGTTTGCCCCCCCCCCCCAGCAAGCAAGCAAGCAAGCAAGCAAGCAAGCAAGCATACATGGGGCCGCATGGTCTGGACCCTGCTAACCCGGCTGCCCGTATCTCTGCCTCCTAGCTGCCGCATGTCATTCAGCAACCTCCAGCTGAGCGTGGCTCTCCTGCTGGGCTTCTCCACCGGAGTCATGGCACACGCCGCCCGGCGCCGGGCGCGCGCCATTTACCATCTGCTTTTCCTGCTGCCGGGCACCGGTCGCGGCGCTCGGCTACTGGCCATTCTTCCCCTGGCATTGAGTGCCCTCTTTTGCCTCTCCCTGACGCCGGTTCTCCCCCTGGTCCCGGGCCAGCAGAGCGCCTTGGCTGGGCTCGCGGCTGTCGCGCACATGCTGGCCCTGCGCCCGGTGCTGGCGGCCTACCTGGCGGCGGTGCCCTTCCGTTTGCGGCGCTTGGCCGCTCCTGGCGCCTCGTCCACGCGTCTGACCCTCGGTCTGGCCGAGCTCCAGAGCCACGTCGTGCCAACCCTGTTGCAGCTGTGCGTTGTGGCCACCGAATTGCTGAGTGTCCCGTTGCTGATGGCCCTGGCCGGCAGTGTGGCATGGAGTCTGCAGGATGTCACGGCCAGTCTCTCGCCCGGGCTCCGGGCCATTGGCACCCTGGCGAAGTTGACCCTCTGGTGGCTGCATGCGGCGACCGTCGGCTTGACCCTGGTCGGCCTGGCCCGGGCACACTATGACGCCCTCATGCCAGGCGGCGTGGTGAGTGATGTGTGAGTGTGAGAAGGCCGACAACCGCCAACAATGGAGCTGCCTTTGTTCTCTCCCTCCATTTTTTTCCCCTTCCCTTCGCCATCCGGATGGCAGGGGCGGGAGGGGGGCAGGAGGGGGGAAGGATTCTATGGTGTATTGATGTGCATGTGCGTGGGTGTCAGGATGTCGGCGGTGGGCTGCCGACAGCGAGCAAGAGCAAGCCACAGGGAACCCGGGCGGGCGCGAGGCAGGACAGCGCCAGGCAGCCCCCTTACGAAAAGACTTGGCTGTAAACCCGGTGACAGAGGTCCGCCACAGAGGGGAAGTCCTCCCGCAGCAGGACGGCCACCGAGGTGTTCGGCAGAGCCGGGCTGTATGTGGCCAGCTGCCGGGAGAGCAGAGGCCCGAAAGTGTGGGCAGTGGCCGGGGCCGCGCCAAGGATGAGGATTGGCAGGAGGTGTGCCGCCAGGTAGACATCTGCCGGGCCGAGTCTGCGGTGGCGAAAGGGTGTCAGCTTGGGAGGGAGGAGGGAGGGGGGGGAGGGGAGGTAGAAAGGAGAAGGACAAGCGGATTAGGCGTACTGCTCGCCAGCCAGGAAGCTACACCCTGGGATGCCGGCGTCGGCATCCCCCCGGAGGAGGGTCTCCAACTGGCGCAGAGCCGAGCAGAAGCGCTCCTGGGAGAACTGGGAGATGTTGAAACTGAGTCAGGACAGGCTGGCCGGGGGGGGGGGGGGCACAAAGGGAGGGCAGACGCATGTCGGCGCACGGTGTTCTGGCGCAAGGCAGACTCGTGTCTGAAGCTGTGTTCGAGGCGCTGCGAGGCGATGTATCGAGCCAACATGGTGCGCCCATTGCCGAAGGGTCGGCCACGCTGCATGGTCCAAAACCGCAGGAAGAGCTGGGCATTCGGCTGATCGTAGTACAGGTGGAACAGCTGCGGGAGGGGGGGGGGAGGGGGGGTCGGTCAATATGGCGAGCGGCGGGGGAATAGGGCCGACAGGAGCCCCAAGGAAGAGGGGGCGAAGCGGGACACAGCGGGACACAGCGACGCACCACAAACGGCCGAATCAGCTGGTGGATGAGAACCAGCAGCGCGTCGACCGCCGGATCGCCCGAAAAGAGGGGCCCCGGGACATCGGCGGGCGTGGCCTCGGCTGGGGGCTGGTACAGCCCAGGAACCGAGGTCGGCTGGGCGGCGGAAGCACGACCAAAGAAGGCACGAATGCTGTCCAGCGAGAGGCCGGCCCGGGCCCGGGCCAGCGCCTCGACCAGTGACTGGCGCACGGCCTCGCGCGACGGGGCCGCAGCCCATATCCGCCGGGGGAGGTCCGGGGCGATGGTCGCCGACGAGGCAAGCAGCTCGGCCAGACCGCCCGGGCGCGGGGGCGCCCCGGCGGCGGTGCTGCCAGCCGGCGGCGGGGGAGCCGCCAACGGGGCCGCCACAGGCGGCGGGGACGCCTGGAGAAGCAGCTGCCCGGCCGGGGCCGGGCCAGACGGAAGTGCGCTATAGTCCAGACGTTGGAGGAAGTGCAGCAGGCGCATCCGGTCCACCAGGGCCGTTTGCACATCGGCCGCCAGGACCTTGGGCTCATCATCCCCCTGGGTGGGAGCCGAGCGCGACACCGAAAAGAAGGGCAAGCCATCGAGCGAGGGCGCCCCCTCGGGGGCCACCCGGTCGCTGACCATGAACCGGAAGTTGGCGCTGGAGGGCGAGGCCCCCGGCGTGTCGCTCGGCACCCGGATGCGCGCCAAACGCAGGGCCATCAGCGCGAAGAGGCTGTCCACGTGGAAGGAAGGCAGGCGGTACTGCTGGAGCCAGGCCCGATCGGCGGCCTGGGCATCGGGGCCGCTGGCGTGCGAGGGGGTCACCGCCGGCAGGAGAACCGCCAGGGCCGGCCGGCGCACCGGGGACCACGGGTGAGCCAGCAGGGCACTGGCCCGGGCCGTCAGCGAGCGCAGCCATACCCACCCCGGCAGGCGCCGGAGGACGTATGCCTGCCATTCGGCCAGGGCCGCATCCAGGTGCGGGGACTCCGGCGTCACCGGCGCCGTGTGGCTTCGGCGCCGGCGAATGTCCTTCGGCTCCAATTCGAAGGGCGGATGCACGAAAAGCAGGAACTGGTCATTCTGCTGCAGGGTCGCCTCGGAGGTGCGACTCCACGGGAGGTCCGGCCCCGGGGCGCCGGCAAGGCGCGTCAAGTGCCCGTCCAGGAAGGAGGACTCGTCCATCTCTCGGGCAGGATCGATGCGCGACCAGGAGAGGAGGGCGATAGGCGGAGGGGGGGGGGGGCGGGAGCAAGGGGGAAGGAGAGGCAGGAAGGGGGGAGGGAGGAGGGGCGGCGGAGGGGGGCATGCAGGGCCGCGGCGGCGAGGCAGTCACACCAACCGGGCTCTTCTCTCGAGCCCAAGGCCTGCCCTCCTACCGGGCCGCGAGACGCACGTTTTCCCTCGGCATTCTGCCGGAGGGCCCTAGTCGCGTCGGTTGGCTGAATGGGGCGTGCCCGTGGCAGAGGCGGCGCCGGTGATGTGGCGGTGCCGGCGACTAAACTCCGGCGGGGCCCGAGGCCAGGCCCATCCGCCTGGAGATGGGCCGGGAGATCCCCCGGCAGGCCGGAGGCCAGGAGCAGGAACACATATGGCGGCAGCCAACGAACATGGAACTGATCGCGTGACGTGCGCGGTCAGGCGCCGCTTTTAGGTGGTGCCGGCCGGCCTCCGAGCCCTCCGCCTGCTCCCCGACCGCCGGAGATGTGGGCGTTGGCTGGCCGCCCGGCCCTCCCCCCCCCCCGGCCCCGCAGCCAGGGCGCCTCCCAAAAAGAAAAACACCCACAACCCCACAAAAACCAAGAAAAAAGAAAAAGGACAGGAAAAAACACCCCCCCCGCAAAAGAACAAAACACAGGGCACCCCCCCCCCCCCAACCCCACCCACACACCCCAAAAACACCAGAACACCCCCCAACACCCCCACCAAAACAAACCCACACACACCACCACCCCCCCCCCACTCCGCCCGTCCCTCTCCCTTTCTCCTTTTCTCGGCCCTCGCTCGCGCCTGGCTCCGGTCCTCTTGCGTCCTCTGAAATCGTCACCCCCTATCCCCACCTCTCTCCCTAACACTTGCCACCTTGCTTTTCCCCGCCCTCAGACCCCCCTCCGTGCGAACCCCGTGTCTTCCAACCACAAGTGCCACACGCACCTTGTCCGCTTCGAGTCTTGCACTCGCGCCGTACGCATCTCCCCCTGCTTTTGCCACCTGTTTTTTCCTCTCTCCTCCTCCTCCTGTCTCTCTGTTCTCCTCCCCTCACCTTTGCCGCCATTTCCCGATACTCGCCCCCCTGCTTGCACTTCCTGCCACCAGCTCCCCGAGGAGTCCTTCAAGTGCCAGCCGCAGTTCGAGAACTACATGGAGTGCCTCAACAACACCAAGGCCGTACGTGTGCCACCATCTCTCCTGCCCCTCCTTCCCTCGCCATCTGTCCACCTTTCACTCACAAGACTCCCCTCCCCCCCCCCCCACACACACACAGAACGAGTACAAGAAGCTCGTCGCCGATCGCATGCGCTACATGGAGTCGAAGGGCATCCCCATCCCCCCCTACTCCCCGGCCGCCGGCGCCCCCAAGGCCGAGTAAGGTCCCGCTCCCTCTGTCCCTCTCTTCGTATGCGCCTTGCGCGCCCTGTTTTCACATATATATATACACACACACATCATACACGAGCATGCTGAGATACCCCGTCCGCACCTATCCTTGCCTGCTGCCCACACACACACACACACACACCTATGCCGGCTGTATCCGTTTGTATGTGTGTTTGCATTTGACTCGCTGTTGCGTGCGGGCGCGGGCGCCCTCCCTCTCCGGGCCTGTCGCCCCCTCCCCCCCCCCCCCCTTCGCCGCTGCTCCCACCGGAATACACCCCGGCTTGCTGATGCTCTGGCACCCGGCAGGAGAGACGAGGGGGCGGCCACGCCCGGCGCGCGAGGGCCATCAGGCTGGCAGCGATCGGCACCTGCCACCGGCTCTCTGCCGCGCCCATCCTGACGAGGGGGGGGGGGGGGGGAGAGAGAGAGAACATTCAGACGGGCGAAGGGCCAACTCTCTCCCGCGTCAAAGAGCACGCTCAGCCGCCGTCCGTCCTGCCGCCTGCACCGCGCCCGGCCCGGTGCAACTCCCCGTCCCCCTGCCCGGCCTGTGTGTGTGTGTGTGTGCGCGCGCGCACAGCGCCATCGGGGGAAAAAAATGCCGCCACCTCAACAGACAAAAACACCCCGGCGAGATGGTGGGCAACTGCAAAAGGCTCACTTCTGCAAATACAGCATGCCGACATTGTAGCATAGGCTGCTACGGGCGCTTTGGAATGGCATTCGTGAGCATTCATAACGCGCCCCAGCACGGGGTTCCGACGATCATGCCGTCTGCTCTATTAGAACCATGTCCAAGCATTGGGAGTCGGTGAAGGTGGACGCCGGGCCGCGAGCTCGTTGTTCGGCCTCTCTCTCCCTGGCTCCCGCCCCTCGCGGGCACACTTGCGTCCCCCCGCCGGGCGCCGGCCCGGGCACATGCGCGCTTTGGCGCGCAGGGAAGAGCATGGGTGCCGGAGCGGGCGGAGAGAAAGGATGCACCGATGGCGGGGGCGGCGCGGGGCGGGGGCGCACACGGTGCCCAAGGACCAACCGCCAAGGTGGCCGGGCGGAGCAGTCGGCAGATCGTGGGCACGCACACACACACACACAGACACGCGTGTCTGTGTGTGCGTGTGCCCCAGAAACCATGGGGCGACCTGCCGAGAGGTCCCGGGCGGCTCTGGCGCCCAGCCCATATGCACACGGCCGCCCCTGTGGTCTTCCTCCGCCCCCCCCCCCGCGCGCCCGCTCGCCCGACAAACCGCAAGCCACGCGCCTAGATTGTCGCTGGGCTGCCTGTGGACCTTGCGCCCCGAACGGCATCCCTCCACCTGGGCCGGGGTCGCGTCAGTCGAGGCGACCCCCGCCTCCCCCCTCCCTCTCCACCTGACAAGAAACGCGCTGCTGGTTCGGCAAACGAGCATCCCTGCTCGGACACCGGTCCGCCATGACCGAGGAAACCAAGCCATCACGCCGTGCGGTGTATCGTAGCCGCGACCTGGCGCCAGGTGTTCATCGCACCGAAAAGAGTCCCCCGCCCTCGCGCGGCAGGGCCTCCTGCATGTTTGCCAAAACAATGCACCCGTCCCCCTCCCCCTTGCCATATCACCCCTTCCCCCCCTGCTCCCCTTTTCCCTTCGTCTCCCCGGGCGGACGCTGCATCCCTTCGCCACTGGCCCCTGCTCTCCCCCCCTCCCTCCCCCCCCTGGCCTACCTTTCCTGTGCACGCCTTTGTGTGAGCATCCAATCACTGTCGCTCCGCCGCTCCTCGACCAGCATCCCACCCTCCTCTCCCTTCACAGCACCCCCTGCTGTTCCCCCGGGATCCGGGCCCTGTACGCGATCCAGCGCATCCCACACACCGACACCGACACCGACACCCACACAGACACAGATACTTGCTGTGTAGATGCACGCCCTTTCTAACCAGAGGCTCCTTCTGACCCTTTTCCTCTTTTCCATGCCCCCCCCCCCCCTCCCCCGTCCCTCCTACCCGCACGGCTCAGGACACCGGCCGCCGAGTGCGGCCATCTCCGCTTGCTGCTCCTCGCCCTCCGGGTATTTACTTGCACCCGCCCCTCCCTGCTTGCGCCCCCTCGGCAACCCCTTGCGCATCCCATTGTAGCCCGCCGGCGACATGGCGCTCTCACTGCGGTTCGTGCGCCTCCAGCGGGCACACGGGCGCCTGGGGCCATCCTTCGGCCCCGGAGGGGTTACCCCGGCCAGTGTGACCACCGCCGCCGGTGTCACCGCCTCTGCCGCCGCCGCCGCCGCCGGCAGCCACCGGCCCTACTCCTCGGCTTCGGACCGGAATCCATCCTCCGGCGCTCGGGTCTCGCCCTGGGTGGCCGGCGGTAAGCCCGGGCCGAAGCAATTCCCCTCGCGTTTCCCCAATGCCGGGCCTCCCCCGGCGGAGGGTGCGGCTGGTCGACCCATGCGGTCCTTTTCCTCGCCGCAGGGCTCCCCCCCGGAACCGCCGATGGCCGACACCTCCGGGCACAGACGCCCTCCTTGGCACTCGTCCCCCCCAAGACGGTCGAGGCCGCCAAAGCGGTCGTCCTCCCAGCCACCGATTCCGGAGAACTTCCGTCCAATCATCACTTTCACAAATCCCTCGCGCCCCGGGGACCAGGTCCTCCCCGGGCCGTCTTTCACTCGGCCGCTCGACGAAACCACCCAATACCGGAGCCGCGACAGTCCGATTGGCCTGCAGTATGACCCTCCGCGCTACCGATACACGATCCCGCCCGCCCCCCGATCTGGCTCCCCCTCGGGGCCAATGACCCTGAGCGAGGTCCCACCCGAAGCCCGGCGTGCCGTGCACCAGGCCATGGACGACATGAAGGCCTACCAGCAGGCCACCAGTCCGCACCACCGGGTTTTGAATTATTTGGAGGACACCCATCCGATGCTCATCAATGGCCAGAGTATCTACCGTGATGCGCACCTCCCGCAGGCCTTTCGCCAGGCGGCCCTGCGAGCTGTGCCCAATCGCGCCAACCCGACGGCGCCCCTGGCCTTGGAGAACCTCACCCCGGCTCCGCTGCTGCCAAATGACATCGTCATCCCGCCGGAAGGGAGCCATATCAAGTATCTTCACCGTGGCCAGGCGGCCGCGGCGTCGGTGGCCCGGCTGCGCTTCTCCAACCGCCTTGCCCATGGCTTGGGGTCGGATTTGCGGACGGCCTTCTTCGGGGCATCTCAGCCCGCGGCGACCGGGCATGCCGCCGGCACCCGGGGGGCCGCCCGGGCGGGCCCCTCCCCCACTGCCCTGGCCAACAATGCCCCCCCTGCTGCCAGGGTGAGCGCGCCTCCGCACCTGCCGCCGGCCCGGAAGGCCCGCTTGCGTGATCTTCCCCACACCCGGCGCGCGGCTCGGCCGCTGGCCCCCTTCATCCTGAGTCCGGCCTCCTGGGTCCGGCACTTGGACCGTGTGAGCAACCTGACACCGGCCGGTAGGGCGCAATTGTTGCCGCCGCCCTCGATGCCCCTTCCGACGCCGCTGGCCCCGGGGCCGGCCACACACGGCGGCCAACGCCTGCCCCCGTTGACGCCCTTCGCCGATACGGCCACCACGCTGGCTGGCTTGCCCTTGCGACAGCGCTTGCGCGCGGCCACCTGGTCCGCCGTGGCCGCCACCACGGTGGCCCTGGTGTCGCCCTTCTCCCTGCCGCTGACCACGATGGCGGCAACGGCGGCGGCTCTGCTCTCGTCGACCGCCTCGCTGGCTCGCATGCATGATCCCCTGGTGCCCTCCCCGGCAAGCGGCTTCGGGCGTGACACGTCCCATGTCACGCTCAACAGCATCTGGCCGGCTCCGATGGCCGCCGGGGTGGGGGGGGGGGATCCCTCCCTCGCGAATGTCCGCGGCATTGCCCCTGCCCAGGCCGCGTCCAGTGTCCCGGGCCGGCCCGGGCGCCGAGTCACCATGCAGGAAACCGACAAGCCGACCATGCGCTCGGACTTGCCCGCCCATGCGACCGCCCTGCTGGAATTGCTGGCTCCCTTCAATCGCCTGGTCCAATCGCCGGTCAGCGGGATCCGGAGCTCGGCCCGCTTTGACCGGTCCACCGGCCAGGCGTTGGTCTACCTGCCGCATGATCGCCACTTCGACTCGCTCCTGTCGCATGTCCCGGCCCCCTGGGAGTCGCGTCTGTCGCACAATGGTGCCTTGGTCACCCTGTCTGACACGCCGGGCCCAACGCAGGAGGCGGAATTGCTGCCGACCACGAGCGAACTGCCCCTCTTCAGCCGGGTGTCCCTTCCCTCGCGACTGTCGATGTCGGTCTCCTCATCGACTTTGTCCGCTGCATCTGGTGCGCTGGGGCTTGTCCGGGCCTTCGTTGGCGCCGCATCCTGTTGCCGGAGGCAGCCGTCTTTTTTCCCCCTCCCGATGCATCCATGTGCCTGTGCTGACTTTGTGTGTGTGTGTGTGTGTGTGTGTCTGCGTGTGTGCCCCTTTCCTGCCCCCTTTTCAGCCCTGGCCGCCATGGTTCGCCGGCTGGACCAGTCCCACTCGCTGGAGGAAATCAGCCTCTCGGCGAGCTCCCTTGGTACGGCGTGGAGCATGTGAATCTGCTGTTCTCTCTCTCTCTCTCCTCCCCCTGCCGGGAGAAGGAGGAGCCTGCCGCCCCTGGTCCCTGTCCCGGCCCCCTTCTAACACACACGCCGTTTGCCCTTCGACCCATGCGCGTACGCGCATCCACACGGCCACACGCGCACCATAGGCTGTCTTGAGGACTCGGAGGATGTCCTGGTGACGGCTCTCCTCCGGCACCGCATGTCAATGAAATCCCTCTCCCTGCAGGGTGCGCCCCACGACCACATTAGCACCGATATGCAGCCACTTGGCAAAAAAAAAAAATTGCGCAGCCCAGCATCTGACACGCGTCCTACCCTGCTCTACTCGAGCAGATATTTCCCTTTCGCCGGAGGGATGCCGGCGGCTGCTTACCGTGGGCCAGCTTTTGTCCCTCCGCCTGTCCGGGAAGTCCTTCGAATCCTTCAGCTTCCCGGAGAATGATCGCCTGAGGCTGGACCAGCTGTCCCTTTCCGGTGCGTGCCCGGCCGGCCAGCAGCCGTGCATCGCTCATGTGCTGCCACACCATTGCGCCGCTCGGCCAGGCCGACTGACTTTTCCCCGGCCCTGGATTTGCCCCAACATGCTCAGCCTCGTCTGCGTCGCCGGAATTGGTCACGCGAAACCTGGACGCCCTGCCAGCCTCGATCAGTCGCCTCTCCTCTCTCTGTCTTGAAGGTGTGTTCGGCGGGGGTCTCGCCAGGAAAAAAATGTGTCACCTCCTTCCTTTTGTTGCTCTCCCCGGGCGGCATGTTTCTCGGCGCACCTTGACTTACACGCGGGCTGGCCCCTCCCCCACAGACCTGGACCTTACTCAGGCACGTCTGAGCATGCTCTTCTACGATTTGAAGCATGCCAACCTTCGGTCGCTGTCCATCAAGAGTGCGTTCTCCTGGGTGATGCTCCCGTCCGCCGGCTGGCCCGCTCGCTGGCCCGCTTGCTCCCATCGTTCCTTCCCCCTCACCTTTCGGCGCCCGCCTCTTGCGCGCACATATGCACCCAAAGACTGCTTCCTCGACAAGTCGGCAGTCAAGTCCCTGGCCAGTGGACTGTCGAGTGGCCGGGTCCCGGTGTCGATCTCCATCTCCTGCCCCACGTCGACGATATCCTCGCTGGATATGGCTCGCATTCTTCTGGCCCGGGTGCCTGCCATTCACAGCTGCTCCATCCTGTGTGCGTGGGCTGCTCTTGCGATGCTCTTTCCTGCCCCCATCTTTCTCTCGCTCGCTCCCCCCCCCCCCCTCGTTCTACATCCATGTTGTCGCTTACGCTCATGCTTTGCCCCCCCCCATCCTCCCCTCAGCCCACTCCTTGGGGGACATTCCCCACAACCAGGGGGACCTGAACGAAATTCTCACCATGCCCAGCAGCCTGGCCTTCCTGTCACTGAACTCGCCACACAGTGCGTCCGCAGGGTCTTCCTTTACTTGATTGGGGATGGGGGCCCTTTGCTTTCAAGCGGGCTCGCTTCCAGTGGAGAGAGAGAGAGAGGGGGGCGGGGGACCTTCATGTCTTCTACTTTCGGCAAAACACCCTCCCCCACTCACCAAACCCCCCTATTGTGTGTTTCTTCCGCTTGTGCGTGCGCGGCGGCACGCCCCCATAGACACACCCATCTGCTGGGCCCGGGATCAGAACCCCGCGCAGGTGTCCTTCGAGCATATGATCCGCACCTCCGATCGGTGGTTTGATCAGTCGGCTTTGTCCGGCTCGCGAGACTCGCCGCGGTTCCTCTTCGCGCCGGGCCCCATTGGCCGGGCCTTCCACGAGTGTCTCTTCACCGCGATGCGCCCCACCTCGAGCGATCCCTTCGCCATGCGGATGGACTTGGACGCGCAGCTGGCCTCCATTGATCAGGAGCTCGGGGCCAATGATGCCGAGAGCGATGGTACGTGGCTGCCTTCGCCTCCACACCCCCCCCCCCCCAGGGGTCCTTTTGCTCGGGACCTTCCCCCTGACGGGCAGGGCTGCCCTCCTGTCGACCGTCCGCCCTCTGACACATTGCTCTTCCTCCCTCTGCCGCCTAGCCCACGCCCGGCTGCGGGCGGTCCGCCGTGTGATCGAATCTCGCCGGAGCCTCCTCGAGTCGACGATCTATTCGGAGTGGTTCCGCGAGCGGCGCACGGCCACCTCGCTGCTGAGCAGTGTCTATCTGACGCTGGCCTGTCGGCCGTCGGGTCTCCGTGCTCTGACAGCCCAGCAGGTGCTGGCCCTGTTTGGGGACCTGGGCCTGAAGCTGCCAGCCACGCGCCTTCGGCAGATGGCCACCCCGCCCGACAGCGCGGTCTGGTCATCGGTGTCCTCGCGTCGGCTGAGCGCCTTCCCGGAGAATGTGGCCTCCAGTTCGGATCTCTATATCAATGGGGAGCTCTTGGCCAATCTGTCGGTCACCGGGCTGGCTCTTCTGACCGGGCTACCGATCGAGGTGTGCCTCCTGTTTGCCCTGCGCCTGGTGCATGCGGCGGTGTCCGTGCCATCGGACTTGGCCATCCAGCTGTCTGAGCGCCATCCGCACGACCAGAAGCTCGACCAGCAGGCGGCCCTCCTTTCGGCCCTGCTGCCGCCTCACCTGCAGTCCCGGTCGTGGCTGCCAGCAGCCGGGGTGTGTGGCGCCGATGTCAAACGCACCCGGCCCATTCCGCTGATGAACTTGGGTGCCGAGCAACTTAGGGATTGGCTGAGTGGGATTGGCGACCCGGCGGCCGCGGCGGCTCTCTTCCCCTCGAGCACGGCGATGGATGAGCAGGAGGAGGACCGCCAGGCGGATGTTAGCCCGCTGCCGGCCCTGCGCCTGCTGGCCTACCAGTCGCTGCACTTTGACCGGCAGCATGTCGAGGAGCGCGAGCGCCAGGTGGCCCAACTGGGCGCCAGCCTTCGGGCGGCCTTCCCCGGGCAGGCGCGGTATACCCGCCTGCAGGTGGCGTCCACCATTTTGGAGGACAACCCCACGTCCGGGTCCCAGGAGCAGCACGTTGCGGAGGGCGATCGGTCGAAATTGGCCCTGCTGGCCTCGGTGACCGGGCTGCACCCGGCGACGGATGTTCTGGCCATGGAGGCCCTTTGGCCCGGCCGGACGGCCGGGCATGCACTGTCCTCCACTCAGCCGGAGCTCTTTGATACGGAGCCCCGGGTGGCCGAGGCCATCCGGATGGCTGTCGCGAGCGAGGTTCACCGGGGACAGCTGCCCGACTGGGTGGCCGGGTTCCCGATGATGGTCAAGCTTGGCGCCATCATCGATACTTACCGCACTGCGCTGGCTATCCCGCCCTTCCAGTACCTGAATCCCCGCGCACAGTTGGTGCATCGTCTTCCTCCGGACGACAATCCGGAGACCGACGACAACTCCAACGAGCCTGGGCCTGATGCGAGCCCCGCCGAGGCGCCCCCCCTCACCCCTGCCCAGGCAGCCCTGCTGCGCTTCGACCCGGAGGCCACTTCCAGCTCGTACACCTGGCTCGAGGCGTTAACTGAGTAGCCTCCTCCCCTCCTCTCCCCCTCCCCCACCATCCCCTCCGGGACTGCGCCGAAGGGAGGAGAAAGTGAGAGCGAGAGAACACCGCAGCCGATCAGCCGGGTGCCCCCCCACCCACCCCCTGGCCTCCTTGCTGTATTCTGCCGTCCTTTCTCTCTCTCTCCCTCCCTCTCTGTCTTCCACACCCCCGAGCCCCTTTGGGGCCCTTTCTTCGCATCTCCCCGGATCAGTATCCCACTTTGTCCTTGTAGAACCTCCCCTCCCTCTCCCATCACCCTAGAGCCAGTGTATGGTGACACCATGCGCCATAGGGCACGATGTCTCCCCCCCCCCCCCCCCC